TCAGGCTTCTCTGAACAGTAGTGTAAAACCCTTCAGTGTTCCAGTCACAAAGATATAAAACAGGTAAAACAGCAAATTATTTTAGAGCGACTTTGATCATTGGACGTTTCCTGTTTTTGCTTAAAAAATGACTGAAACAGTTGATAAATCAATTTCCCAAACAGTTTCAAAATTCATTTTCGTTCCATCAAGTAAAAACAATTAACAGAGCTACAGAAAAAAGTCAATAAATACGTGGAGAGATATAACAAATGCAGTTGCTCTACTTAACTTGTCACCCATCTATATAGCAAAATAGATTAAAGAAGAGATATGAAGCAGTGCCTGTTCACTGGAGCTGTAAATCAATTTCTGATTGATGCAGCAAATTTAAAAATGCTGGTTCACACAAACTGCTAAAGAAAAACATAGAAATAAAGTAAATATCTTACAACCAGGCCAAAATAAAAATTCAGTCTCTGGATATCACCAGCACTTTCTTTCCAAAATACTCTTCATTGTGTGTGGTGTTGCAAACAGGTGATATTTGATGTCCTTAGGTACGTTTTGTAATTTATGTATGTAAGACAGCTCAGTGCTGTGCCAAAATTGATATTCCTCAAGTTTTCCTGGCTTTGTGTCTTTATCACATTTGTGTATGGTTGTTTTGTTTTGGTACAACATTAAGCACTCAAGCCTGACAACTCAGTCGGGACTTGCGGTTTGAGATACTAAAATCATACACAAGAGCAGTATCTGCCGTAAACATAACAAAGTAGGTTACCTTATCATCCAGTGAAATGTTTCCAACAAATAGTTACAGCAAACCCAGAGAGTGAACACTGTCATTTTATTTTCTGGAGTGAAACTGAGGCAAAGGCACCAGGGAAAGCGATTTTGTTTTGAACAGTAAACACGTTTGAAGCACTAAGTAACACAAAATACAACACATTCACACAAATAAAGATGTAAAAGTGCGCGCACACACATTTTCACACAGACTGATGTGTCGGCCAAGTAATCCCTCTCTTCCTTTGTGTCTTCATTCATAATGTGTATTATCTGGGCAGAACTAATCAGCTTATTATTTTCTACTGTTTGACCTTCAGTGCTGGACTTAGCTCTCCTTCCTCATTAGAGCTGGTTAGAAGTCGCCTCAGGCAACCGTGCTCTTACCTGTCAGAGGGGGGTTGTGAGGGAGAGTAGGGGAGAGCGGCAGAAGGACCAAAGATCTTTTTTTTCTTTTTTACTTGGCCACAATGAGCCCAAAATTACTCCCTTTTTTAAAATAAACTCTTGGTTATGAATTATGGTAGATCCTCGGGAGATTCACTTCAGCACATTGAAAAACTAGTGTCTGCTCGTGTGTGTGTGTGTGTTTTGAATTTTTCCAAAAATCTTTGCCCATGCAGAAAAAACTGAAAACTACATGAAAGCATGTGAGTGCTCCAGTGAAACCGCACTTGAATGTTAATATTCATGTGACTGTGTATGATGTCAGTATGTGCAGCCTGAACGCTGAAGGCAACAGTCTCAGTCTAACTCCAGCTCCACATTTACCATCGTACACTAACTTTTTTTGAAGAGATTTGGTACTCTTAGGGCTGAATCTGACTTTTTTTTTTTTTTATTTTCAATTAATCTGTTGATTTTTGATGAACCCTTGGAGCCTGTAGAGCATGACAGATGCATTTTGCACAGAAATTCTAATATCTTTTGTTAAAATTAAATTGCTCTTAAAGTATTTATAACAGTAAGGTTTATAGTGCACATGATATTAAATTGTATGAGTAGATCTTTCCAGCAATGTCACATGCTTGTCAGTGCAACCAAGTGTCACTGAGAAAAATATCTTAAAATTACATGAGAATTGATCCTGAATTGCACTGATTTGCTAATATCTATCTATCTGCAGTGCAACGTGGTAATATCATCACAAGAAAAAGCCAAGCCAGAGCTTTATATGCTTGGTCCATACTTGGACATACTGAAGTAATAATATTAATAATCAAACTTTTAGGAAGTAATTTGTATCTCTGAGCAGCAGAGAGTAATCCAGCTTTGAAATTACAGCAAATGTCTGGATTATTTTCAACAAAGTGCTGACATTGCATGCCACTTTGTATGAAAAATAAACACAGAATGATGGATTTGCTTTTCATTATTGCTAATTTGAGGTCACCTGTAAGCCAACAGAGCAGACAGTGGCTGTCCCTGACTCTGAGGGTCTAAAGTAACATACCCATGAGATGCCCTTTTGTTGGGGACTGGGGACTAGGCTGCTGGATGTGAACACTTCACTGAATAAAATAATGAGGTTTATTTCTGTTAGGCATTAGGCATATATTCTTCCTTTTTTAATTTTTTTTTAAAGTCACAGTAAACCTTTGGCATCATTGTAAAAATACTTCTGCCAGTGGTTTAATACACAGACATACAGTGGGTACATATGACTATGAGTTATGGGCAATTTGGTCAGAGAAAATTTCCATTTTAAACCTCTCAGACTGTCTCATCCACCGCTAGAGGCCAAAGTGGTAGATCTATCTAGCATTACACAAGAAAAAAAAAAAAAGCAATAAATCAATTTTGTGGAGCAGATTTATGACTTTATTTTCTGCTTTGTTATCACATTTCTTATTCTGCACGCCTTCAGCTTTATCTTGTGACTATAGGGTCCTGAGCCCCGGGTTGAGAACCAAAGCCTTGACTGATTATATGTTAGACTATTTTTACGTCTACTGATCAATCGATTATTCAGATAACAATTTAAGCACTACCACTGTGGAGCTAGATAGTAGACAATAGCAGTACACACAGCCTGAAACCTTAAAAGAAACAAACTGTGTAGCGAGTGAGTAGAAACTAATTTAGATGCCGTGTGGAAGGGAACTGTTACAGCAGCTCAGACAAGTTAGGACCACTGGGGAAACCTTGCTAAATGGCAAAAGAGCCAAGGTCAGACACCCACCCTAGCATAGAACACATTCATTTGAAATGTTTCATATTAGGTGAAATACTTCCTTTCATGTGCCAAAGCAGTTTTGACTCATTAAAAAAAAAAATCTGCACCAGTGTCTCTGGCAGTGGGCAGTGACCTCTGGCTTCATCCGTGTATAATTAATGGCATTTATGTATGGCCACGTTCAATCTGAATCTGCGAGCTGTCAGTTGTGGCAGTAGTCTATTTAGCATCACTCAGGTTAAGACAAGGGAACAGCTGAGTTCAGTGTGAGCAGACGGTTTAATCAGCACCACGGTATCCTTCTCCAGAAGCCATAAGGCATCAGTATTTAACTATCTGGGACACTTTTGGGTCAGGAATGTGTGTGTGTCTAAGTATGCATGAGAAATGTAGTGCGTTGAGTGGCAAAATAGCATTTTACAGTCTCGAGGCCTTTTGGAAGCGGACTAACACACTGAATGTGTCTGTGTGTGTATTGATCCAGCTAAAAAGCTCAAAGCCGTTGCTGTAACTCGTCACATGGCCCACTGCAGCCACTCAAACTGGGTGATTGATGTGATGCTGGGTGCACTTTTTTTTCCTTTCTCAAATCCACATGTTCCTGCAGGCATGTGTCGTCGCTGTTCCCTGACCCTTGATTTTTTTTTTTCCCCTTTTTTTAAATGACTACATGTATCCTTTTACCAGTTTGTTCAGAAATGGCTATTTCTGTTATTTAACACAAAAAAGCATTTTCTGTTTTTGGAACAGGCTCCAGCTGCCTGCATCCCTGCACAATGTGTAAGTGGGTACAGATAAAGATGGATCCATGGATTAATTTTTTTGGGTCAAATTGTCAGGTATATTTTCTAGATGAGCTTGCATGTACCGTGATCACTTAAAGAGAGAGAGCTGTGGAATTAGGGTATTTTGGGGTTCAATCTCCAGTAAGTCAAAACTTTGTCATATATTCCTATTTCATTAGGCCACACTTGGATAATTTAATTTATATGAAGTATTATATTTATGTATTTTCAAAATGCTAGAAAAATATCTGAGCGATCACGCTACTTTTATAGCACAGCATACAACAGAAGTTGGTTTTCCTGTATGGGCATTTAGACCACACCTGTTTCCAATCCACATGGATGTTGTAAATCCAGAAACACAGCGGGTAGATGTGGCATAATTGTGATATTTGGGTCCAACAAAGGGTGTCAGTCAACCAGTATTTTCTCTGTCACAATCTAATGTTGTAATATTTCCACTCAAATCATAGGAGGTCACTCCCATGTTTTGCATTTTTATGTCGATGGAGAAGATTATTAAAATCTTTACATCATGTTTTAACTCATTCAGATGCAAGTACAGGATACTAAGCTAGGAAAGAGCACTTTTTGTGTCTCCTTCCCTACCATAGCAGCTCTGAGTACAATGCCCTGGTGTAATAATCTATTGGTCTATCATCTTTTTTTATTGCTTGTGTAGCATATATGTAGAGATGTAAATGGATCCTTTTAGGTGGGTGTACACTGGAAACAAAAGGTCGACTTATTTATCCATCAGTGAGAATAAATCCAATTATTTTTCTGTAATCTTGAGTGGGTTTGTTTGTACTATAATAAACTCCAAGTTTTTATCTCCTGATTTATTTAGAAAATGCCTCCAGATATTGCCAGCAACTGTTGCCACAATGAAGTCAGGTGCCACAAAAACAATGCCATGGATGATGAGCCAAGCATAATGCTGCTGTCAATGTTCTTCAAATTAAACGAGGTAATAGCAGAAACAAAGAACAGAAGCCACTACAGCACAACAGATCCCAAAGCAGTAAACTGAATACTCAAGGTTTAGGTCTTGTTCATTGTCATTATCATGCTATGAGCAGGTACTGGAGCAGTTTCAATTACACCTTTTCATACACATAATGTTTTATATATCTATGCAGAGAAGTTTCACTCTTTTTGGTTAACATATTCAAATCAGCAGGCATGTCAGGTGTCAGGAACAAATCCCAATTTTTTTGTTTTCTGGAACCAGGCCTTTTTGGATGAATGTGTTTGTTTGGTAAACGCACCTGTGCCACAGCCACTTGTGTTTGCTGCTGTTGCTGCTGGAGCTGCTGCTGGAGTAGCTGGATCTGGTGGTGGACAGACAAGGGGGCACCGGGTGGCAGCGTGCCTGATGCTGGGAGCAGCATCCTCGGGCTGGACAGCAGCAGAGAAGCCTCTTCTGAAGCCTGACCACAGAGAGAAAGAGAAGAGATCAGGTCAATATCTAGTCGTGGAAAACAGTTATTAAGTGACTAAGTAATATTTCTAAACATGCTCACAAAAACTTACAGCTCAGGATGCAAATACACAACAAGAAAGAAGTTATTAAAGAATAAACAAAAATAATGAGGACAAGCAATTGCATCGATGAAACGCCTTGGAGAACAACTTATCATCAAAACAAGAATCTGAATTCGAAATGTAGAGTTGCTGATTAGTTGCACCAGTGTGGAATGAGTGACGCGAACTGAGAATGCAGATCAGTAGCACTGAAATGCTCCACTCCAGCAATAATGAGCTTTGGGAATCAGCTCTCCTTCTCCTAATGCCATGTAGCATGCTAACTGTTTCACAGATTTAGCAAATAGTCACACTTTGTGCCCTCTCCATCCAGTCAAAAACATTTTCTGTTTGGGAGATACGCTACCTTAATCCTACCATGGCTAGAAGAAAGCAGCAGCATCACTGGTATTTGAGGGTAATGACAACCAAGCCAGGAGAATCTGAAGAAAATCGAAGAACTATATACATTTAAAACACTGCTCTACCAAAGTGTACACTCATATTTTATTTTCCTTCCAGTGTTCAGTGGGTCCAGGAATAAAGTGCAGGCATTTCAGTTGGAGCACACAAGGGCACTGACCAAATTGTCCTCTTAATCCTTAAGTGGAGTGGTCCAGCAAAACAGATTGCTACAAGGCACACTGTAAAAAGAAAATGAAGCATTCTCAGACCAGTACTGAGACCTTGGGAGCATAGCGTGCACCTCCAATACATATTTTGCCCCAAAGCCATCTAACAAATGACTAACACAGGTCAAGGATCACGTAGAGTCCCACTAGTAAGACTGAATAGATTTCAGAAGTCCTTTGGCCTATTTACACTAACCATTTCAAGAGTCTCATGTCCAGATAAAAAAACTGATGCGTGTCCTGCATAAAGATCATTCTGTTCATCCCAACACAGTTGCTTTTAATTACTACAGTCCTGGTCTTGGACAGCTAGCAAGTTCTTGCTCCACTGACAAGAAATGTGCATTGCTTTCTTTATATATTAATACACAATCTTAGCTCTGCTGGGTTCTGCTCGTGTCACCTTTGCTTTGCTGTTCATAACGAACCAACAGGCTGTCCGGCTGCCAAGTGTGAACCCTGGCTGAATCCAAACAATACGCACAACTGGGGAATGCAAGGCGCTCCAAAGTGAATGGAACTGTGACGCAAGGCGGGGCCAGCACAGAGTCGACACCTGATTAAATTGAACCTGAACCCGCCTTAAGGAATCTACGCCAAAACACTTTACCATCTGTCTCTCCTTAAGCACCTTCTGGTAGCACATAGACAACGATGCGTGCATACACACAGACCCAGACACACTCTGCATGAGAGGAATATGTGACTGATGGCCTGTCTGAAATAGGTCTTTTAGGTTAATGGGAAGAAATTATCTACATTGACAGGGTGTTTAGTGTCATTATGTAATGAATAGCAGGCAAAATGCTGTGGAATATATGCAAGACAAGAGAAAACTTTTAGGTGAAGACTGTCCAGAAACATGCAGGATCACAAAAACAGCCTTTTCTCTTAAGTGTATCTTTAATACAGACACATCATTCACTCTTTTTCACTGGAGCTACTCTGAGACACCTAAAGCAACTGCTCAGCTTTAAAGCAAAGGATGCTAAACGGGATTGCTGCTGTAGTTTTGAAACTGTGAGTGTTGTCAGGCAAATGGAGAGGGTTTAGTCCCTGGAAGAGTGAATAAGATGATTCAGCACTCAAAGTAACAGAAAGGAAAACTGATGACATGTTTGACTTTCAAGCACTGTGGACACAGGAACTATTCCCAATTATAGAGAAACAGAAAGAGAAGACAGACATAAACAGACTGTCAGCAGCAGCAGAATAAGACATAACACAGATGGAAATAATTCCCATTCCAAATGTACATCTGAGCAACCATTTCCAACATTTTCCCTTAAGAAAACTATGTTTCTATCTTTTCCCATCCGTTACAACGATGAAAGTTAAACCTACAACCACTTGATGAAAGTATATCTTCTGTTGCAAAAATCCACCGTCAACATTCACAGAATGTTCTGGGGAGGACGGAAGCTATTCAACCATTCAACAAGCAGTTCAGATTAAGCATAGTAGCAGTTTTCGCCTCTTTGAACTCTGGTTAGGTCTCCCAGCTGATATCACATTCCTTCTATGACGTAAGCAGATGATATTAACCAAATGGCTCAAGGAGGCCAAATATGAATCAGCTGCACGTCTAAAACCAAACGGTAGAGAGCAAAAGTTTCACTTTCCTTATGTGAACAAACAAATCCAGCATGTGGGCGGCAATTCAGAATGCTAGAAATAGGCAGGTATAGCCTAACAGAGCAAAGACGAAAATAAAACTCTGTGACGGCTTAATGTGCAACTGCTTGCTAACGTGGAAGCCAGAAGAGCTTGATAAGCATAGGAGCTGACTGAAAAGATACCAAGACTTTATTACTGTGAGTTTGTGAAATGGTAAAGTTATGCCCGCTATGTGTTGGTCAGAGAAAACGTCAGCAGCAACTTTAAAAACTCTTTCATTAAGTTACCAGAATATATAAAAAGGCAATGAAACAGCCAGAACATTTCTTCTCCTGGACCAAACAGATATTTTTTACTAAAAAAATATGTCACTTTATTTTGACCTGTAATTATAGCATCCCCTAGAGCCAACTCCTGCCACAGCATAGTTGACCCAAACAGCTACAAAGACTGGATGCCAAATTATTCTCAGAAACTGCATGATGCCTGGAGGGCCCTCTACAAAGCAGGTGACTGAGGTGACCCCAAAACCCACTTGTGTGTTTGAAAGGCATGTTATCGTTTTAAAAAATCATCCAAATTACACCGTTTTTCAGAGTAAGACACTCAAAACCGGTAAAACCAAACCAAAACCAAATACTGGTAAAAAATAAAATGAAATAAAAATAAATAAAAAATTCTGTGCTTCTTGGAAATCATGACTCACTTAGCTGCAACCGTCACATGACAAAAATGAAGGGACTACTTAGCTATAGTGCAGGCTGTGTTTCCACAGAGGCAAACAGAGGCAAGTATGGAAAGAAACTAGAGAATGAGAGGAAAATAAAACAAAACAAAACAAACAGCAGCATAGCAAAAAAACAGAGGGATACATCCAGCATGGTGAAATATGTTTTTAGAGTTGCTGTCCTCAGAGATAAAAAAAAAAACAAAACCCAGTTGATAGAAATTATAAAAAGGTATGTCGTAAAAAAAAATTATGAAATGAAGAATCAAGTTTTATTTTACAGTGCTGACAACACTTAAGGGTATTTTGAAAAAAATTGCATGTCGATTTCAGGTTTTTCAACTTTTGTAAAATAAATATTCAAAAAGATTCAACCTTCCCTTTTTGGCATTTTAATCATCTTTCCATAGAGGTGCACGGCTTTACTTGAATGAGTCCAAAGTGAAGAAAAGTATGAAAGCAGCAGGGCAATCATTGTTGAGGGTAGTCAGTGATGAAGATGACAGCATCCGTAATCTCTTTTAATGTGCGGCTACTGCAAAATAATTTCATGAAAATACTTCAACTGTCATAAGATCCTTCATTTTTCAAAGTTGGGTATCTTTTGGAATTTCATGCAAGGAGTAAAACAACTTGGATGATGGATGGATAAATGAAAAAAACTGATGACAAGAGTTTAATCCAACATGAATGGCCACCCCCCACACACAGGCTCGCATCCCAACACTCAAGAATTAGCAGTCTAAGGTTGTTGAGCGAGAGCCTGCATATTTAAACAGTTTCTGCCTCTCAGTACCGTGTTTACTGTACAGAATGAGAGACAACAATCCACCTCTGTATACTGAATCCAAAGCGTGTTTACCACGGTAAAAGCCAATTACAGAAGACGGTAAGGGAGTTAAAGAGGGTGGAAGAAGAAGAGGAAGAAAAAAAGCCTACCACTGAAATTCCTCATGATAACTGTTCAGTCTGCCAGAGGGAAACTCTGCTATTACCATCTAATTCTCACACATACTCCGGCTAATACAAGTTCTTAGCAGCCAGCAGGAGTCTTCCTTTATCTTTTAGCCTCTCGTTAAACTCATTGAGGGACAGGGCAAACCAGGCAAGAAAAGACAGCTTAAATAAGAAAGTGGAAAGCGAGACAGAAAGGAAACTGAGGACAGATGACGAGGGATAAAGGAAGTCTATATTTCTCCTACAGCTGTGATTACATGAGCTGCTCTCTGTCTGTCAAACACACTGTCTCAGACCCACATACACACCAGCTACGAAACACACAAAGGTTCAACAGGTTCTGGTTTCCTTTACTCCGACTGCAGCCTTGACTACAGATTTACGACTTTATCAAGGGCTCTCGAGAAAAAGCCTGGGAGATCACTCAACTGCGACTTTGCCTGTAATACCATATCAACCTTTAATGTCATTGTATAGTAATAGTAGTAGAGAAGGTCTTATTCGGGTGAACGGTTCCTTTGACATCAATGGATTAAGACACCTTGCTTCTGTGAATAAATCAGTGAACAGAATCTTCCCTACCATGTCTGACTTGTAAATGTGATGTCTCTTGAGGCCAGAAATCTGTTATTACACATTTAAGCAATCAGGTTTAAGCACAAAATGTAATTGTAACTTGATGAATGCTAGCTTTTAGACTGTTTTGTAAGCAGCAAATCTGCTCTGTAAATCACTTTACAAGGTAACCAGCGTGGAACATCTAAAGAGCTAGGGTAACTGATTATAATAATTGATTTTTAGGTCCTACTTTAACAAGCTCTTACACTTATTTTCTTTTGTCAATCCCAAGGCCTGAATCTGTTTGCTATATGTAACAAAACTTTATTCAGGAAACTGTGAGATTGTCTATATAAGCAAAACTGAGGAGCTGTGCCCCTTAAAACACTGCATTGCATTTCAGCCTCTAGAGGAT